CCCCAAAACCCCAAAACCCCAAAACCCCTATATAGTAAAGTAAGACTGAGGATTGTAATTAATTTGGAAATATGGACTGGAAGGATAGTTTTTATGAAGATTTGTCAGAGGAGGTGTTGGGAGAAAATGTTTCTGCTTCTTGTGTGAAGACTTCTAAGAAACTCTTGAGTAACATGGGAGAGAGTCCTTTTAATAGAAAAGCAAAGAGGAAGCAGTTGCCTAACAGCTCTTTTCTCTCTATAAGATACATACCACAGTTCAAAGGTTTTAAGGATAAAAAATTATGAAACAAACACTTTCTAAGCAAAGACAACACAAAAATATGTTTAAACTCTTTTGATTCTCAAAGTTGTCCTCGTAAGTCAAAGCTACAAACTGAGATAAAGGGCTTGCTCAACCAAGTTATCAAGCTCAAGAGCTCTCCTTCGTCGATGCCTTATTCTCACAGAAACTCAAAGAAAGCCAGAGCCATTGCACTTAATGAAGAAGCTTTGGTGACAGTTAATGACATCCAAAGTGCAGAATAATTCGCTAAAATCCTTTATAATTATTTTATAATACCCAATCTTTCAAAATTGTTTGCTAGAGTTGCATTTCTTCATATCAATAACACTCAAACCTAGGAAGAGAGGGTTAGGAATCATTTCTTCAGCGCAGTTTATAATAAATAAGCCAATGTGTTTGAGTGTTCAACTTGCATAAATTTATTAGACCCATCTTTCCAGAAAACTCATTACGCATAAAATGCTAACCTTTCAATGGACTCAAATAATTTTAATATGTTAGATATGAAGCTGAGACTAGTGAAAATATAAGGCTTGGGGAACCTAAAGCGACCCCAGTCATCTAGAATCAGAAATTTGGTGAATTGTTTCTAAAATATTTGAGGACTTATCAAGATTCTTAAAAATTGTACCAAACTTTTTGAAGGTTTACTAAACACCATAAAAGAGGCCTGACACATCCTATCGAATTCTTAGTGATTTTTAAACAAACAAGAAAATTTATTTTTCAAATCTGGGGGTTAGAAGCCTTAAAGGGTTCTAAAATTGCGAGGTCGATCTGAAGTTTAAGCTTTGCTTAACAAAACTCTCTATATTATATAAATTTAGTTAAACTTTCAAAAACAGTGGTAGGAACTATTTAGAGAAAATCCAATAAAAAGTTAGTGAAATGTCGCAGAATATTTGACAAATTTTGGAAATATGGAAATTATATCAATTGCACTTGAAGAGTTGCTCCAAGTTAAAATTTAAGAAAAATCCGAGAATCATTGTATTTCCATGCTCTAGAGAATAAAAACAAAGATATTAAACTTATTTATAATAATTCATATCCTTATGGAATGTTAATTTTGAAGCAGATATTAAAACTCAAACAATAAAATTAAAAATTGATATCTTTGAAAATTTGAATTCTAATTTATGAAAATTTGAATAATCAAAAACTAGTTTCTGATTTAAAGATGGGTTCTAAATAACAGGATGTTTACTCTAACTGCATTGGTTGCATGTTAAAAATATTCAGGGATCATTCACTAAGATTTAGTGCCTAATTCTCTTCTGTTCTTACAAGCACAATTCTAAAGTTACTTTTGAACGCAATGATCATAAATTTGGACAATTAAATTGGGTGATGACAAATATAGAAAGGATTTTGTAGGACTATTTCTAAAAATTGCTCATCTCTAGTATTAAAATATTCTTCTTTCTGCTTTTCTTTTGTATCACCTTATAAAAACTCATGGGCATGAGAAAGGTTTGATATTTGTAAAAATCTTGGTTGTGTAAAAATATGTAAATAATAGTTCAGTTATCTGATAAGAAATTAAGAATTATCATAAGGATACGAATGAAAAGAAAGTGTTCCCTTTGACCTCAACCTTGGTTGTATCTTGCAAACAAATTAATAATAACAAATTTTCCAGCTTCAAGAGATGTATAACTAAATTTAAGGAAACTTTGGTTCAAACTGGTTTAAAATTTCTGAGATGAAGAGGACAAGAAATTTTAAATTTTAGAAAAAGTACTAGTTTTCGAATATTAGAATAATCATAATTGATTTGGATGAATACAAGACTCTCTAGGAAAATATTATAGATAGGAAAATCGCCAGATATGAGCAGGAAGTTCTAGCTTTTCTCGGTGAAGATGATTTGGTGAAGCACTATTATATTTTAAGTCCTAGATTAAACAAGTACTTATTATATTAGGGAAAATATTGTTAAATTGTTTATAACACTCAATTTAATTTCGATGTGAACATCTTGGTGAATTTGTGTTTTAGATCATAAAAAACTAAAAAAATAAGAAATTTTTCAAATTTCTAAAACACCACTATTCCCAAATCTAATACATCTCCCAATAAATTTGAGATCAAAAAATGCTATCTTCTCTCAAACACCCCCAAAATCCTTCTAGCCCAACCCCCCACAATACCCAATCACCCATTTCCTTCCCTCACCCCCTTCCAAACCCTCTCTTCCCCTATAAAACCCTTCCCTCTCCCCATAACCCCTCAAAATCCCTATCTCCCTATTTTCAATCCAAAATTCCCTCCAAGGGGTTTTGGGGTTTTGGGGTTTTGGGGTTTTGGGG